TTGCTGTGAATTTAAAAATAGATTTGAATAGGCAAAATGTAACATGGGGGAAGAGGAGGGTTTTGTATTTATAAATAAGGCTATTTGAAGACAGGCTGGAATCTTAAAAACCAAACCTGATGAGTCTGTCAGCACCATTTTCCTCTTCGTTGGTCAACAGCCTATTAGTCCCATTGGAAATGTCAGTAGCACATCCAATACTTAACGGATGCAAAATACCTGTTGTAATGTGATCAAACTTAAAGGGAAATCATAGTAACAAATTCCATGCAATGGAGTGAATTATCTTGCAGTTTGAACAAAAGTATCATCTTGCTTAGATCTAGCTTTCAACAAGAAAGGACAATTTACTCTTTATTTCTGTATTGCAGTAATGGCTAGAATTTGAATTCAGCGCCTGATTTTGCTAAAGTGCTGTACAGACATAGACATTCTCAGCACTGAAGAGTTTACAGTCTAAATAAACTAGACAGACATGGGTGGGGGGGGGTGAAGAAAATGTCATCATCATTATCATCTTTGTCTCAATTTCACAAGCGAGGAGGAGTGATGAGGTGAAGTGAATTGCCCAAGTCTTAATCAGAATCTGTGGCACAGCCCAAGTTGCCCATGTTACAGCTGAGTGTTTGAACTGTAACCAACTCTGTCCTCCCTCTTTCTCCTCTTGAAGGAAATGTTGCATAAGAAATACAACTTTTATCAAATGCTCTGTGTGCATGACTGACTGTAGAATGCTTCAATAAGATTAGAAAAGCTTTTAACGTAATATAACAGCACAATGCTATATTGCATTCCAGCCATGTAGTGCACAGATACACATAATATCTGCTCTCAGTTAATGTGTATCTTTTAAGGCATGAACATAATGTGATGTAATAAAATCACTGGTTGGTGTTTCTAATTAGTTGAGCTGCACAACACTGATTTATGCTCTGTCATAGCTGTCTGGTCTGCTGTGTCCTTGATGACAAAAAATGTTTGCATCTTATTTGTGTCAGGTTGCAATCTAGGTTATGAAAAGCCCACAATTAGCAGGATGTGTGTGCAAATATCTCCTTTTTATAAACCCATTAGTATGCACAGCACATGACGGAAGATCCCTTAACAAGCCAAGGAAGACGCAAGCTTTTAGGATTTTGGTGTGATGGTAAACACCATTTCCAAGTACCAGTGTAAGGAGTTTATCTTCCTGAGTGCCAGCCTTCTGTCTCTAGGAATTAGAGGGGAATAAATAAAGCAGTGAGAGTTCATGGCAGTTTCAATCTTGTTTTCCCAACCTTAGAGCTGCACTCCATCACTGTGCAGATATGGATTGTACTTCTTTTGTACTAGCTGTGGGATAGCAGAGACAGAATCGGCAAGCTTGGAAGGGCAGAGAAGCTGCCTAAAAGTTATGGGAATTGGAAGCTCTTTTAACAGGACATCAGATCCCCTATTTACCATCATGTAGGTATCACTTTTAAATGTGAACTTTCTGTGTTTGGTTTGCTGGATTTCTTGGAAAGCTGTGTTTTGACATTTATTTCTTAGAGCATGTCCACACTTGCACTTGATCAACAAAACTTTTGTTATTCATGTGTGCTTAACGCCCCGTCCCATATGAACGACAAAAGTTTGCAGCAGCAGGTAAAAGTGGGAAGACCGCTTTCTGCCAAGAAAGCGAAGGAGGGGGTGGAAGTATTTTGTTGGCAAAAATGCCAATACACAGCGTTCACTCAAGCTGACTTTTAATAACAAGGCTGTGTTGACAAGGCCTTGTTGCTAAAAGCTGCGTAGTGTCGACTTAGAATAATGTGCAGTTGTGTTGCATTTTTGCTATTAGGTACTTCCTAGTTTTGTGCTCTGTGTAGAAGGCTTTGTTACCTGGGGGGTGTAACTAGGGCTACTCAGAAGTTCTGTGCTGTTGTGTGATTGAGCGGTGGTATCAGGTTTGTGGGAGGAACAATTTCATCAGCCTCTCTTTCCCCTGCCTCCCAGCCTCCCATTCATTGATCTGTTTTGAAGGAGTCTGTCTGCTCAGTGTCTGAGCATTGTAGTTAGGATTGCTGAATTCTGGTGTTTTGTGTCTGAAACATGAATAACCTAGCATACACTCCGCTGAGAGGGTTGCCAGATGGTTTCAACAAAAATACCGGATACACTTGACATTACATCACAATCGACATTACATCTTACTTAGAAAATACCGGACATTTATATTTTCTCAATTTGTTTCCCGAACAGAAAGCTAAAATACTGGACTGTCCGGTTCAGAACCGGACACCTGGCAACCCTATCCACTGAGACTCCTCTATCTTTATAAAATGGTGTAAGACAACTTAATAATGCTCTGAGCTTTAGATCTTCCGTAGTAGCTACTCTGTGAACAGTTAAATCAAAGCGATTACTTAGTTAGGGCCAGAGTCTTCTAATCTCTTTTACCAAGAATAGGAAGTATTCCATAGGAAGTTTGTGGAGTCCTCCTAGAGTAAGGCATTATTAGACAGAAGTTAAAAATATCCAGATCTGATCCTTGATAGGCCGGTTTCCCTGCTGTGATTTGTGGATTGTAAATCCTATGGAGATTTGGGGGCGGTTGGGTGATTGTTTACTAAAACTTTGGTTTCCTCCCACCACAACCTCAAGAAGGCTGAGCATACTGCAGAAAGAGGGACATTTCCTTTTTAGCCCTCGGTTTTGTGGTGCGTTGGTGAAACTGCATTACAACTTGAGATCCACAAGATCTTCTTCAGTCAGCAGGTGGGCTTCTGAAGTCCAGAGCCCATCTTTGAGGCCTGCTATTGCCAGCCTCCTGTCCTTCCCCGCAATGTCTCTCCTCTGCAAACCTCCCTTATTTTACTCCTCTTAACACATCCCCCTCTTTGCTCTGTGGGCACTTGGCCCTGATCCTGCAGTCTGATCCATGTGGGCGGGCCCGCACACCAGCATAGAATCTCACCAAACATACAGGTAGTCTTCAGTTGTTTGTATTTCTTTTGTCTCCATTATCTTACATGCACCTCATAGTCTTAATGTAGTTATCTTCACAGCACTCTCCTTTTTACTAATGGGGAAACTGAGGCATGGAGCATCTAAGTAGCATGCCCAAGATGTCACAAAGGCAGTGGCAGAGTAGGGAATCCAACCTAGGTCTTCTGATTCATGAGCTAGTGCCCTAACTACTTGGACCATCCTTCTGCAGTAATTTGAGCAGTGCACATGTGTAAGGGTCTTCCCAGGGAGATCAGCCTGCAGGACCAGGGCCTTTGCATGTAGGTTATATCCTTTTCCCCCAAACCTTTTGTCCATTTTGCCTGTTTGGACTCTAAGCTCTCCAAAGCAGGGACCATACCTTGCTGTGGGGTTGTACAATACGTAGAGCATTGGGGCCCCAATCTTAAAACCAATCCTACCACAATGCCAATAATAATAGACCCATTTCTCTTCTCTGGCTTTTGTCTTTCAGAGTCACAGTGAGTCCACGGCAGAACTTGGCTCGTATCACGTTAAAAGGCACTTTCCAGGGGGCCAAAGTTGTCCGTGGCCCAGACTGGGAGTGGGGTAATCAGGATGGTAAGGATTCATTTCCCCCTCCCCCGGTTACAAAATCTACTGCAAAAGCAATGTATTGATCCCAAGCTGCTAACTACAAATGGACCCGACAGCAGGAAAGCCACTGGAGCAGTTCAGATGCTGCTGATTTTATTTTTTAATGAATCGCTCTAATGTTGTGTGTGTCTGCTTGTATTTAGAGACATTTCAGTGGCCCCACTGTCGTCTCTGAGTGACACTCCAGCATTTATTCACTCTTGCCTCGGAAGGCAGGACAAGCAGCAATGGGTTCAAACTTCAGCAGAGCAGATTATGGTTTTGTTTGTACCAGCTGAGCACCTGGCCCTCCCGTTTCAATTTCCTGGAACCACAACAATTATATATTTTGCTGTTCAGGGCAGGTTAAAAGTGTAAATAAACATGATAAATCTTCACACGTTTCAGAGGGGTAGCCAAGTAAGTCTGTGACAGGAAAAACTTAAAGAACAATGAATAGTCTAGTAGCACCTTAAAGACTAGCAAAACAAGTAGACGGTATCATGTGCTTTCGTGGGCACAACCCACTTCCTTAGATGACTGGAGTATTAGAAGTCCAGATCCAAGAATAAATAAGGGAAGGGGAGGGGAAAGAGAGACAAGGAGAGGAGGGGGAAAAAAATCTTGTAAACCCTTCAGAGGACACGAGAGAGCCGGGTTAATTAATCTCATAGCCCCATGTGTCTTATTAGGGCAATAGCAGCCAAGTGTGAAATTTCTGAATGTAACAATCTCGCTTTTTAATTTTGCTTTGTGGCTTTTTTTCTCCACCTCCTGCCTCCCACTGCCTGACATGCCCTAAGGAAATCAGCATTGACTGCTACAGAATTTGCTGATGAACCAAAGGCCTCTCGAGCTGGACTGAGCTCTTCCAACCTGATCTAGGCTTTGGCCGCTGTGTTGGCTGTTCGGCATGCTGACCCTTTTATTGACTGTATTTCTTTCTACCTCCGTCTGAGCCTAAACGCCCCGAAATGAAATCGGGACAGCTGCTTCCTCCCTGCTGTACCATGAAGGATCTGAAAACAGATGGCAGCAGGGGAAGGCGGGCTGGTGATTTTCTTTTTCCTAGATCCCTGCTGACATTAAGAAATGAGTTATGTGATTTGTCACTTGTCGCTACATTCACGTGGACAGTTGTTTGGGGTCTGGGGCACTTGCTGGGTTTTGTGTGTCTCTAAGTGTCAAGCACACCTGTGGCGCTGTGTTCGTGAATAACAAACAATACTATTGGGGCTATGTCTAGACTACATCTCTCGTTCGAAAGAGGGATGTAAATTAGGCAGATTAAAATTGCAAATGAAGCCGGGATTTGAATTTCCCGTGCTTCATTTGCATAATGGTGCCCATGCAATGCTTCCAAAAAAGGGCTTTTCAAAAGTAAAACTGCTATCTAGATGCGGTTCTTTCAGAGGGAAAAAAAAACCCTTTTTCGAAAGAACCGGTAAACCTCTTTTTTTTTTTTTTTTTCAGGCATTAAGGTTCTTTAGAAACGGGGGGAGGTTTCGAAAGAACCTCGTCTAGACAGCGGTTTCACTTTCGAAATACCCGTTTTTGAAAGAACCTGTGGCCACCATTATGCAAATGAAGTGCGGGAAATTCAAATCCTGGCTTCATTTGCAATTTGGGGGAGCTTGTGCACATGCTTCAACCTCCATACTTATAGGGAAAAGGACCATGAAACCAAGCTTGCTGCTGTTTCCTTGTCTCATGAATGATGAGAGAGCAAGAGAATGGGGTAGAAGTGGGTTGGGGGGTGCTGTGTGTGTTAACAGTTTAATCCTTTTTATGAGAGAGTGAGGTTTAGCACTTGAGAACATTAAGAGATTTGTTTTATACAACTTTGGGTGTAAACATGGAGGATTTCTTTGCACAACTCTCCCATTAAGGAATACTGTATTCCAATAACAGCTCACCTTTTTCATATAAAAACAGAATGAGTAACAAAGCCGCATGGCGCACAAGATTACTCCTCTTTGGCTACACTGAAGCAAATTCAGCTCCTTACCATGGAAGTTTAAATATTTTGCATTCATTTATCATTTATCAAGGCAGAATTGACTCTTAGGCCATTTTATTTTACACACAACATAGCCTGGCAAAGACTTGGTAAATATAACATGCCCTGTTATCCAAATTAGGCAGAGACTTATGTCCAGAAATCTCCTTGTGACATCTCATCTTCTTGAGAAGTTTTTAGTCCAACTTAATGAGGCCGACGTCCTTGGCGTCCTGGTGGCTCGTGTTCAGCCCAGACTTTCGGATCAGGCCATGGCGGTTCAAATACACGTGGCAGGAGCGTGAGCCCTGGACGAACTTCCTGGGGTGGCTGCCATAGTGCTGCTGGTGACCCAGCCTGTTGCTAGCTGACCACTGTGTGGCGCTTTTGCACCATGCAATAGTTGCCTGTCTAGACGGTATTTCTACCAGTCAGGGAAGGTGCCTTTTTTTAAAGGGTCCTCTTGGAGAGTGTGGCTTTTGTCCATCCATGCTTTTGAGTGGAAGGGTTGACCAGCATTCACACAGCCTTCTGTAATGACTCTCTTGGAGCCAGCAGAGACTCAGTGTTCCCCAGTTTAAAATAACTGCACTCACACAGTGCTCTTTGCAGCATGAAATGAGATTGCAAAGCCTCAAGATGGAAAAACATAACGGCACCAGGATACTTATAAATTCTCCTGATTTTTTTTCCCTCTTCCTCTCCCCCAAAAGAAGGGATAGGTGGTGATGGGGGTCTGTGGGGGGAATGGGACATGAGCAAAGAGTTTGTGCTTGTGCTGGTTTTGTAGAGTGGGACTAGAGTAGGGATGTTAAATGTCAGTTAATTGAATAGTCGAGTAACCTCATGATTCTTATCAGTTAGTTGACTATGCTATAGTCTCCGGCCTCAGCCCCAAGAAGACCCCTGCCACTCTGTGCTGCTGCCGCTGTATCAGAGGCAGCAGTGTGGGGTGCCAGGCAGGAGCTGGTCCGTGAAGGGAACCAGTTTAAAAAACAGCTCCCTTTGTGGACTGGCTGTGTGTTGCCCTGTGGTGCTGCCTCTGATAAAGAGGCAGCAGTGTGGGGTGGCCGCAGCCTCTGTCTAGAGGGTGGTCTGAACTCCCAGACCTGACATGAGCCGGAACTGAGATGGGCTGCCTGCCCACCCGGCTCCTAATACTCTTTAAATGCAGACTTAGAGTGGGGGTAGGTCCCGGACCCATTGCAAGCCAGGACTGAGCCAGGCTGCTGGCCAGTCTGCTAAAAAATTTACTGGCAAGTGTGGGGAGGGGGTAGAGAATGCATTTAGTCTATAGCATTAACGCATAAACTTTTGCTTATTGGTTAATTGATTACACTTTTACATCCCTAGACTTGAGTCTCCCAGAAAGAGCCAGTGTTGTCTTCAAGTCGTCATTGTCAAGTCCAAGTCAAGTCTCAAGTCACTACAGTTCAAATTTCAAGTCGAGTCTCGGGTCCCTAAAGTCACTTTCGAGTCAAGTCTTAATTTTAAAAATGTCAAGTCACTTTTGTACAAGCCATCAATATCGGCGTTTTCGGATAATTTTTTCACCAAGTCGATTTAACAAAATTAGCAGGTCTCAAGTTGAGTCTCAAGTCACAAACAGTGAACCCGAGTCGAGTCTCAAATCGAGTCACCTAGGCGACTTAAGTCGGACTTGAGTTCAGGTCGTGGGACTCGAGTCAACAACTCTGGAAAGAGCCCTATAGAAATCCTACCCAATCCCTCACATGCAGAAAGCTCCTTGTCACCATCTCTCCCTCCATCCCAGCTGGTGGCTTTGTGCCCGCTGCTCTGTGGTATTATTTTATTGGAGAACTGACAAGTGCATTCATTTGCTCCCTCCCTCACCCCCATTTTATTTATTTATTCAATGTTTAAATGCCATAGAAATTTTTTTGGTTTTGTTTTAAAAGGCTAAACCCCAAAGCTTTAGTCATTTGGAATCCTTTAAAAATGTGCCACGGTGCACTCTTTGTATAATGTAGAGGTCTTGGTCCCCAGGTCCAGGCTAAATTCTAGCCTAGCTAATTACATCCTCCTGACATAAATCCCTCGACGGATTCAGGACTGAACACAAAACCCGTTCTTGAGATGAGCTTTAACAACCCAATACTAATCTCCAGTCCATTCTTGCTGGGCTAAGATAAGAGGTTCTTGTAATTACTTCTCAAGGAAGGTGCTCACATGCCATGGTGAGGGAGGTTTAGATTGTTTTTCATCTTCCTACCTGACCTGAACTACTGAATAGGGAGAGATGTGGTCTGAATATGGCCCTGTGAGCTAGAAACATCCAATTATTGCTGCAAAATTGAGTCCCTTTGTAGCTAAAGTAGATCACCGAAGCTCTTTTTTGGCCTGTTTCCTTATCTACAAAATAGAGGTAATATTAGCTGTTGCCCTTCACAGGAAATCAATTAACTAACATCTCTAGAGGACCATAGGAATGCTAAACGTTTTTAGTCAGTGTTGCTCTGGTGTTACACAGTTGTCGTCTTCCATCCCATCACCAGACAAGGAACACGTCAGTACCAGGCAAATGTCTGTGTATTAAAACTCCATGGGAGTGTAACTTAGTGTTTATTTCTCTTTTTAAATCAGGTGGGGAAGGTAAAACCGGGAGAGTGGTGGATATTCGTGGCTGGGACGTGGAGACCGGCCGCAGCGTGGCCAGTGTCACATGGTCTGACGGCACCACGAACGTTTATAGAGTGGGGCACAAGGGGAAGGTGGACTTGAAATGCGTCGTGGAAGCATCTGGTGGCTTTTACTACAAAGAGCATCTCCCAAGACTAGGTACGTGGCAGGTTGGTGTTAGAGTTCGTGTCATAACACACGGTTGTTGTCAAACATTCCTGAGCACATCTCCCTAGAGCCCATCTGGATTTGGCAGAGAAGACTGAATAGCTGGAGGCATAAAGTTTCCATGTAACACGTGCCATTTAAACAAGAACGGGGGAAGGAGGGTGTCAAAAAGCTGGAGTTGAATCAGGTAGCCTGGTCTTCCAGCTGAGTTCCCTGTAAGCTGCACAGTCACACAGCTGCCTATTTTGTATCGCTCAGGTACACTGTGAAGCCACAAAGACAGGGATCTGTGGCAGCCAGGGGAAGGCACGCGCACACACACACACACACACACACAGATTTTTCCTCCACGGCCCATTGAGATGTATTTAATCCAGGCATTCAGGGCCCGATCGTGCTCCCCTTGAAGTCAATGGAAGGAGGGACACTGGCTTTGCTGGGGTAGGATCAGGCCGGCATAGGCGGTGGTCAAGGAATAGAAAGGCTGGGTGGGGAGCACGTTGGCAGAAAACATGAGTGCAACCCTCCATACAAGATCTGCTCTTCCCTATGGAGGGAGCAAGTCAACAAGGAGCTGGTGTCCGTCAAAGAGTGGATGGGGGAGAGGTTAATTTGGTGTCACCAGGAGGGCATCTTTCAAATAGATTCCTTTCCATAGGGGACCGAAATGCCTTTGCAAGACCTGCCCTCTTGTGACTGGTAAGGATTGTCCGGTTAGGGCCAAAGTAATCCCAGAGGCTGCTAACCCATTGTGTGCATGTCCCCGCCCGCCCGAGGAAAGTGAGCAGGACTTTTGGCCATGTGAGGGGTCGTTCCTTGGGATGTTAGAAAGCAGCAGCAAAGACATCTGTTTTACTCTGTGTGGGGGGTGTTGTTTTTGTGTTCAGAAAAACC